CGAATTTCCGATTTTATATCGCATAACTTCGAAATAACACTAAAGTAAATGACCTACCAATGCATTTTCCCACTTTTCTTACCTTTTCCCTGACATCTATATATAGACATGTATATAGATACATACATACATACATATGCATGTAATTTCATCACTTGATATAATTATAAGGTACGCGCTTCACCTACATTTTACTTTTAACTAATTTTACATATACATACATACATATAATAGAGTAATTTCATAGTTGAATTAACTACACTTAAGCCAATAAATTATAGCAGTGGGGTGGTGTGTTCTTTGTTACATAAATAACAACTTCTTTTCATATGCAGACGTTCATTGTTTGATATTTCAAAATTCTGCGTTTTTTATATTTATGTATGTATTTTTATTTAAACAACATGATTTGTGTTCTTTTGTATACTTACGTATGTATGTAATAAACATTCGTTTGCATCGCTTGCGTTAAAAAAAAAAACCAAATCGAAAACAACAAATATTTAAAAAATACAATGCACGCATACATACAAACAAACATACTTACTATAATAATTATGCTTTGAATTACATTTAAACAACTAGTCGTACATACTTACAACAAAGTAGTACAGGCAGGTGAGTGTTGCATTAAATGCGTTGCACTTATTTGATAAGTACAGTACATCTAAACAACAAAAAGCATAGGACACTTTGAAATAAATTATTGTTAGGTTCTTAGTTACGGGGTTTTCCAGGTAATTCTTGTTGCTTTTTTTTCTTTGTTTGTTAAACGGCAGCAGGAGGAAAGGGCAACTGTTGTTAGCTACGAATTTCATTATTCAATTTTTTTTTTTAATTTTTTTGTTTTTCAATTATATTTATTTATACACCTAAAAAATCTGACGCTTAAGCTTAACATATCGAAGAATGATTTGAAAAAAAGCCACAAAATCGCTTAAAAGAACATAAATTGTATTTTTTTATATTAAAAAAAAGTCATAATAATAATTGTAAATAATAGTGAAAGTAAAAACAACAACAACAAAAAGTTTTTATGAAACTTAAATTTTTGCGAGTAAAAAACTACATTTATTTAAAAACTACATACTTAAATTGATAAAGCCTAAATTAAAGGTACATATACATATGTACATATATACATACATATATATATATATAGGACATACATACATACATACTGTTAATATATATTACATTAATTATAACAATCAATAATAACATTAGAACACTATTTAACATTAATCATTCAATCAACAAATTTAGTAAAGAATTATGTGTATGTATATGTTTACGTACTACATACTAGTTATTTGGATTTCTATTTTTACCCCATTCGTTTTGTGTACAGATTTTAAACGCTTTTATTTTTTTAATTTAAATGTTTATGTAGTTTATAGTTTTCGAAAAATCAGGTAGTTACTTTATTTACACATTTATAAGCAGCAACGTCGATTTTGTTTTTTTTTTGTGATTTTTTTTAGTTTTATGTTTTCGCTTTTTGATTTTTTAAGTGCTATGGGCGCAGTATGAACTTGTAGGCAAAGAAATTAAAAGAAAAATTATGTTTGTAAGATTCTTTTTACTTTTTGGTTTTTGTTGTTTTCGACAGGGTTGTTGTATGATGTATTTTGCAACGAATTGCCTTCATTCCAAACCTAATTTTCGAAGGTATGATGGAAAACCGTTACAAAACACATTATTTAGAAGATTGGCTCAAATTCAAATAACTCAAAACTGGAAAAAAATTATAAAAATTTTGACAGTTCAGCTGTAGTATCGAGTCTTTTATTATTTATTGTTAATGCCCTTTTTTAGATAGAGATTTCTACATAAAAATTTTACCCCAATAAAAACTTTGTTTGAGTAGCCTTATTGCGATTGTCGCATCGAGTGCAAATCGTTTTTCGATAGTCGAGTCGATTTAAAAATTGCATGGCATTGCCTTAAATTGCGACTCGACTGAAGACGAAATTTTACTGAAACTGTAAAAACACAATATTTACTTTAGAGTGCATCACCCTTCATAAAAAAAAATCGGTACTGTTTTTCCAACGGAATTATATCATTTATTATACTTTAAGATATTAACCAAAATAGTTCGGAAAAAAATTAAGATTAACGTTAGCTGAACCGATTTGAAAAAACATCCAAAAATATCATTATTGTGATTCCCTTGATAAAATGTTCCAACATTTTTATGCAGACCTTTTAAGCTTAGACGTTTTTTATCATCTGAGGTGTAAAAATAATTTTATTTATTTTTTTTTTAATTTTATGTATGAAACTCTACTGTAAACATATTCATGAAAAATACTTTTGGGTATATATTGAAATTTTTTTAGAATGTTTCGACAAATTTGAATTTTTTTTAATTACCAATTTTAAAAGATAAAAAAACTGGAAAATATAAAATCAGAAAGTTTTCTAAGAAATTAAAAGTTTAGTTAAACAGTTGTAAAAAAAATCATATAAAAGCTTCTGAAAAGTCATTAGAGATTCTTTAACAAGTAATTTTTAGCAAAAAAAAACCGACTTCAATTCTCATATAATATATATATCATGATCCAATGATCGGATCTAAACCCTATTAGGGACCACCACTGAGACACTACCTTTCCGATGCAAAAAGAATTATCGAAATCGGTTGACGTGGTCTATAGTTATGCGGCTACAAAAGAACTCATTAAAGTAACGAAAAATATGCAAAGCAAAAACACAAACTCCGCCATGTGTCCGAATTCAGTCAGGTTGGGTAAAAAATACGCGACCCGATGCGTAGTGTTGTCGAGTAAAAAAAAAACTGCTGTATTGTGAATTGTTGGTAGGTATGTGTTAAATCAAATTGATAGATGTAGCACATAGCCCGTCGTTTTTAATATACTTCGAGCATAATGGAGTCTCATAATCTCTTTTTTTATTTCAAATGCAAAAATAAATTCATCTTCTGAAATTTATAAAATTTGGTATTGAATCTTACTATTTTCATCATTTAAATTTCATTAATAATTTTCGTAGGAAATATTCGGTCCTCCAGAAAACAATCATTTTGATCGAACGATTCTCAGGATATGCCTCGTCACTCCAATTTATTTAAAAATGTGCATACAGAATTTTTCAAATTTGCTACAAAAAAAATCGTAAACCTTTATTGTATTTGAATTCTTATAAATTTCTAAGATGCTTTTATATTTTTTTCTTTTATTGAAGAATTATAGATTTTTCCGTAACGAGTGGCATTATGGATTGGTTGAACCATTGGGATTTCTTTATTACTGTGTTTGTGTGATATTTATATTTAAAGGAGAATTTTATGGATATTAATAATTCAGTATTTACTTTTTTTTTTTTAATTATGAAAGTAAAGAGCTGGAAAAAATAACCTCGTCAGTCCAACTCCGGTTACGTAATTCACAATATTTTTTGCGCAAAATCCACCTCCAAATTTACAAAAAAAGTGCATATTTTAAACCGAAATATTTATTTTAAATTAAAGCTTAATCCTTTGGCTAGACGCGTATGTTAAAATTTTTTGATTCGGGTCACGCGTTTGGAAACGATATCCTAAAAGCATTGTACAAATAACCGAACCGTACCCGAACTATCTTATTTATGCATTTTTCTATAAACAAAATTTTTATAAAATTAAACTGCAGTAATTAGTTTTCCTCTTATGTGGATAATTCTTGTCACAAATATTTTGCGTCAGCAATTTGTCATCAAACTTCTGGGCAAAGCAAAAAACTTTATTTTTGAACCTTTGGACAGGTGTACCAAATTCTTGCAGTTTGTAGACGCACAAGAATTTTCTTCAATATTTTCATCCAACTTCCCTGACTTCAAACATTTTTTTTTTTACTTTTTCAAGAAACAGTAGTTTTGCTGTTAGTGAATCTCATAGCATGATTTTAGTTAAATGTCATAAATTTGTTAAAAGTCAAGAGGTCGGTAACAACAACGAATGTCAATAAATGAAACTACCTTCTATTTTTGTATCATGCGCGGAACCAACGCAAAATGAAAATTGGAAATTGAGTTAGCCTTTTGCATAAGAAATTTTTGACAGTAAATTGGCAGCGTGCGTGAATATTAGGTTGGCCTCTTAGGCGGTTACTGCGCCAAACAAGAAGAGATAGTTCTTTTCAAATCCGCGCGTGCCTCGGCTTGCATTGTTAAATCTCCAAAAGTGTTTTTCTAGAACGAGAACGGCTAGCGAGCTAAATTTAATAGTACGTATCTCAAATATTTTGAGACGGAGAATTCAGAAAAAATTGTCTCGTTGGATAAAAAAAAGTACCTTGATTTTTACAATGGGCTTCACAAATAGGCGGTTTAAATTTTGTTCTCTTTTTTCTGAAAACAAGGAACCGAAGAACACTTTTTAATTTTCATTTTATTTGAAAGTTCATTGCATGCTGTTTTTAGATCCAAAAAAGAAAGAAAATCAAAAATTTTACTTTCACAGGTAATTTCGAAGGCCTCATTGAATAACAAATTACCTTGATTTTAAGAAAATTTTTGAAATGAAAACAAAATTAAGACCGTCTATTTTTAAGTAATAAATTAAACAAAAAATAGTACAATAAAAAATTTTGAGCAAATAAAAAATAGTAAATAAAATAAAAAAAAAATCATTAAATAACTTTCACCCACAGCACTTCCTCATCGTATTTGCTTAGATTTGCCACCTTAATTTTGCTTTCTCTCTTTGTTTTAATGGTAGGTTTGCTTTGCTTTAGTTTTTTAAATTTTTTTTTTTAATAAATTTTTGTTTTTAACACATTTGTTTTTTTGTTTTTTTTTGTTATGTTTTGTTACTAAATTTAATGCACATATAAGCATGTGATTTTAATGCTTAACAATTTAAAATATACATATTTCGAACACATTGTTTGCTGTGTTGCTTCTTCAAATCTTCTTTTGTATGCTTATAATACAATTACATACATTTACATATATTTTAATATTAACCTATATATATATGTATATATCTATATATTTTTAATATAATAATATGAATAAACGCTTAAGCTATATCAATATACATATATATCCATTTTAAAAATATATTATTTATCTTTGCTCTGCCTAAACTGCCTAACCTTAAACATACATATCAACGCGCTCGTCATTTTCTACGTTTCGTTTTTACATTCTGCAGTTAAATTGCAAGTGTGAATGGTGATAACGTAAAATCCAAGTGCTACGAATTACCTTTTTAATGTAAATATATATATATATATATATATTTATATTATATACTTTTATCTTAACTTCCCAATTTTTTTGTTTATTTATTGTTTTCTTATTACTTTGTTTTATCTAAAAGCCAACCCTGGATTATTTCAGCGTCATTTGATAAAAAGCCAATCTATATCGTCTCCTGCCGCATTTGAAGCGCTTTCGTCACATTTTACACGCGCCTGCTTTCACGTGTTCCAACACACATACAAAAATATGTACAAACATTTCATAGCCCTTTTTGTATTTATGCTTTTCGTTTTGCATGCAGCATTTCCATGAGTAGCGTCTGTGTGGGTGCACTGCCAGCGCAGTGTTTCGAATAGAGATGGTCTTCGCCACGCGAGGCCATCGCATGAATATCGGGAAGTATGCTGAGCAGCCTCCGAAATTTATCCTACGCAATTAAGAGCGAGAAAGATGAAGGGATCAGTAAATGGGTTACAAAAAAAGCCATATATAATATAGAAGAGCTAAACGATTTTTTTTTCATGTTGCCAAAAAATGTGACTATTTACATCCCCTATGTGGGCAACAATGTATACAATTTTCCTTGCACTTACCGTCACTGATGGATAACAGGTGAGCGTGTAATCCAGTAGCGCTGCTTGCACATTCTCTTGCCCCTCCAAAACGGTCTTCTTGTTGACAATGCCACGCACGTCTGTTGAAATAAATGATTCACTATATGTTTTTTGATAAGCCAAAAAAAAAACACTTACCTGGATTGAGTAGTATTAGGAATTTCATACAAACATAATCGCCCATATCGAATTTAAGATCTTGCAATCGATTTTGCAGCTCATTAAAATAGTCGGACAATTGCGGTACACCCAGCAGACCCAGCCAAAGTAGATTGAATACTTGACCGTTATTCAATTGCGTTTCATCGGGTAGGCCATTGTGTATTCGCTGATGCAAATGATCCAGCACAAGCATATCTGACCAGGAATGCTGCAGCAATTTCATTTGATCATCAACCTAATGGGGAAACAAAACGAAAAGTTTAGTTGATTAGATGACTTTTAAAACATACTATTGTGACAAATTAAGGAGGAAAAGGATATATGGGACAAAAGTCACCAAGTGTACCGGGACAAATTTTATCAACGATTTTATTGTTGTTGTTGTTGTAGCGGCCACAACAACCCCTCCCAGATCGGCTAGTATATGAGTCGTTGTCGTCAAGCTAAACTAACGGAATACCCAAGAAGTGTGCATCCTCAGTGGGGTCGGTCCATAGGGACAGAGGCGTTAGCTGTGGGGGGTTTTGTGGGTATGCAAAGAGATGTTTCCAGTCGCAGTCCAGTATCTCTCCGCCTGCCGGACGCCCATTGGGCACATCTTCGTCTAGTCTGCTCAGGTATGAGTTCAACCTGCTGCAGTAGCCAGAGCGAAGTTGGGCTATAGCGGCCCGAGTCTCCCGAGCCAGACGAAGCTTCGTCTCGTTCACGTCAGGTGGTTGTGTTTCCAGAACGGCATTCACAGGTCTGGAGTCTACGTAACTTGAGACCGACTCCCTGTGAATGCCGCTCTGACTTTCGATATGCTGTCGGGTCCATAGGTTGCTGTATGCATCTCTGGACCTCGTCCGTCGGTCGGGATATGCCTTCTGCCATGCCTTGACGAGGACTCCTCTGCAAGCCGGTGTCTGTTCGGGTGTCCACGTCTGTGGCTCCCTACTAAGAATTGCTTGCAGAGCATTGTGTTGTGCTCCCTTATGGGGAGCATTTGCGCCTCGCCATGCAGGTGATGTTCTGGGTCGTTCCGAAAATCTTCCGCAAAATCTTTCTCTCGAATACTCCAAGAGCCGCCTCATCGGATGTTGTCATTGTCCATGCTTCTGCGCCATATACCACCACGGGCATGATCAGTGACTTATAGAGTGTGGTTTTCGTACGTCGAGAGAGGACTTTACTCCTGAATTGCCTACTCAGTCCAAAATAGCACTTGTTGGTTAGAGTGATTCTGCGTTGAATTTGGATGCTGGCATTATTCCCATGTAAACGAAATTCTTCACTTTCTCTAAATTATAACTGTCAACAGTGACGTGGATGCCAAGACGCGAATGCCCTGAATCCAACTTAGAAAAGGCAGAACAGACTTCGCGGTTTTTGTTACGTCTGGTGCTTCGTAATTTAGAACCGGCCGGCCGATTGCCTTGTATGTTACCAGCAACGTTTCTTTATCTTTGCCCCAGCAAAGATTAAGCTGTGTAAAAAGTAGGCTAACTTTTGACTTAAGTCCAAAAAATGGCTTAACTAAGTTAAGTTTAGTTGGAGAAACCAGCCCATAGAATTTGTTCCTGGTACCCTGGTGGATTTTTCCCCATATATCTTACAGAGGCTTTCAACAAATACATATACATATATTGGGCCTTATGCATAAAGAGTGAGCTTAAACTCAGACTTGAGTGATCTCAAGCTATTGGATTTGTACTGAAAATCGGGTCGTAGCTTAAGCTCACTTTTTATGCACGAGGCCTATTAAGTTGAGTCTCAAGTTGATTTTTGCCGAGATTTCGGACGATACATATACAATGGAAATACCATAATTTCATTCTGAAGAATGAGTAGGCCACTAGCATATCGGAGTTAGAACAAAAGAATTTTAAAGATACATATGTATATGTACATGTGTATAAGTGTGCGCCTACTGCCTACGCTGATAAGCTTAACCAGTGTCCTCCGCTTATTGAATCTCTTTTCTGTGATGATCAATACTGCGCCTAAAAGATACTACATATCTTTAAGAACGCTGTTGAAGTAGCTAAGGTTTGTTGGGGATGAGTTCGTAGCATAGTGGGTTCACATTTTCTTTTCTTGAATTAAACCCGTCCTATTATTCTGAAAAATGCTAGCTTAATCGACAATATTCCTAGAAAATACCATATTTTGTAATACTATCGCGATAGCAATCTTTTGTAGTACTTAAGCAAGAGTTTCTATCGGAAATGTGGTGGAAAATATTAGCAAACATTTTGATATCAACACTAATATTTCACGCATCAATAGAGCATTTTTGCAGTAATCGCTTTTAAAGCTGAGCCCTGCAACAGGAAGCGATCATCTCAGTCGTGGGGTTCTTGAACAATTTGACATAGCTCAATGACGAAAGTCAAAGGTGTCGAGTGATCATAAGCCTGCACAATTGCCAAACTGCAAGTGAGCCGCTTATTTTCACCAGTGGCGAAGTTCACGAAGCTATCGAGAAGCCATAAACACAAAAGCTACTACACTCGGTGGTATATTCATGATGATGTTGAAGCATGTGCCCCCATGGCTTCTCGATGGCTTCGTAAACCAATATCCTCAATTTCTCAATGACCTCATAATATTTGATATGGTGTAGATTTCGGAGCATCATTATTCATACACTATTTCTCCATAGAAATATAGTTTTCATTCTATTACCTAAAAGTGAAAGGGTCCATTTTTTAATCGTTCTGGAGGGAGAAAAAATATATGTAAGTTTCGCATTATCTGTCTTTCTGCATCAAAAACAGACGACGAAGAAGATCGCAGTTAAAGTTGAGTGTTATAATTGTGCCTATAACAAGGTTGGATATTGGCATCGTCGCACAGTGTATTGTTTCCACATTCTAGAAAATATTAATTACATTATTTTATGTCGCCAAATTTTAAAACAACGTCAACAACGTTTTTAGAAATGCCTGCTAAAGACGAAACAATAACAATTACAAAATATAAACCGAATCGATTTGGAAGATTACCGAGCGCAGTATTATCTAAAATTGTATACTTAAAACTGAATCTCAATGTTTAATTTGTTGGCGTTATGTGATTTATGCAACAATTGCTAAAATACCATTTTGGTTTAGGTATGTTCTTTTTAATGAATATACATTTTTGGGATTTTAGTAAACTAGGACTGAGTATTTCATGTTAAAGTAAAACGATGTTAATTTAGATTTATTTTTAGCAATTTATTAATTTCATTAGACCCGCAAACTCGTTATCTGTTACTATTCGATAAAGTTTGTATCTCAGTTTATTTACCACTCCTCTTTGACTTTAAACAACACAATTTTAGCTGCTGGAAAGTGCAGGTTTTAATGAAATTTTCATTTTTCAGGCCTACTAGTAATTTCATTTTCTTCGAGTAATTTATTGGAATTTCATCTCGGCTGAGACAAATTCTTGTATTTCCGCTTTAAATAGAGAAAGCCTAATTCATAACCTTTCTAATAGTATCTCACTTTTGTAAACAGAGCAAGGAATATTGAACTTAAAACGGAATTTCGTTGACCCAACTTGATTTTTTATCGATATTTTCCACGCACATAATTAAAAAAAAAAAAATATTTTTAAGTCCATTTTTGTCAGTTTATAATTCATTGTTATAGGGAAATTCTAAATATCAATTTTGGGCATTGTTTGTAAAAAGCTTCGCCTATCTTATAGCATACCTTGTGAAAAATTTCATTAATCTATCTTCAATAATTTTCGAATTACAGAATTAAAAGCAGCTAGATGGGTAAAATCTTACACTGTGCGTCGGCCTGAGAACTAGGGACAATAGTGCAGCATTTTGCAGTTTAGAAAAAGAAGCGAAAGAGGTTGGTCTGGGAGTGAACGAGGACAAGAGAAAGTACCACCTGGCAACACATAAAAAAACCTAGCGTTTGCAGTAGCGAAGGACTTTGTCTACCTATGATCCAACAAAAACACCACCAATAATGCCAGCCTGGAGATAAAGCGAAGAATAATTTTTGCCAACAGTTGATACTTTCGGCTCGGTAGGCCATTGAGAAGCAGAGACCTTTCTCGATGAACAAATACTAGGCTATATAAATCTCATCATAACCGTCCTTTCATATGGCGCAGAAACATGGACGATGTCGAACAAAGATGACAAGCCTCTTGGGGCTTTCAAGAGAGCTATTGTAGGCCAAATTTATGGCCCTCTTCGCGTGGGCGACGAGTACCGAAGAAGAAAAAAAGATGAAAGAACTGTGTGACAAGGACATGGTTAAGCACATAAAAATACAACGATTGCGTTGTCTTGGCCATGTTGAATGTACGTATGGACGACATCGCTTCGGCGAAAAGATGCTTCGACTGGGCACCCATGGTTGGACAACAAAAGAAAGTGCCCACACGAATACAACGGAAGGACCAAGTGCAGAAGGACCAGTTTGCAATCGGGAAGTACAACTGGCGCTAACACAATAGCGACGAATGGAGGGATCAGTGGCAAAACGATTTTCAGACGAAATAGTTGACTTGGATGTCGGAAGCAACGGCGCTTCGACGGTCGTTTGGTATTTTGGATTTGGATGCCTCTTCTTCTTTTCCTTTGCTAATAAGGGAAATATATCTTAAAATAGATTTTTATAACGTTCAGAACATTCCATGAACCGAACTCGAAAACTAAGAGTTCAGTTTAACATTTTTGATTGCGAAAAGTTATGGCGCTTAACGCGTTAACACTTAAAAACAGATTTAAGAACCAATCATCAGCATTTTCGCAGCTCAGCTTAAAGCGCACAACCCAAGCGCTTTAATTTAACGCGCTCTTTTCCTCGACACTCGCAGCAAAGAGAAGCTTCAATTGCTAAGAGGAGCGCGGAGAGCAACGCGCAATAACAGCGCTTACAACACGTGCGGGCTGGCAACTCGCACTGCTGTGCCGTGCCGCCAGGTTTGAAATCAAGATTTTCTTTCGCAGAGCGCCACACTCAATGCGTATATGTGCTTCAACGGTAACGCGTTTCGTTAGCTCATCGCCGCAGCCCCAACCTCAATGCAATCATTGGCATGGACGTCTATGGAGATGTCGGCGGCCGCATTTTATTGCGTTTGTCCATGAATGTGCTGCGCGCACCCGCTTACAAATACATATAGAAAATTTAAATAAAATAAAAATAATACAACACACACATACATACATGCAACGGAACAAACTCGCAAATCGACTTGGTCGTTCCAAATTGTTTGTTGCTGTGTTGGTGAAACCTTTGTGCAATGTGTGTTGTTGCGTCATATGAACAGCATGAATTGACTATAGCCGACTTTTGTGGATAGTGTGATTGTGTGACTGTGTCTGTCCGTGTGTGTGTGTTCGTATGTGTGTTTGTTTGTTTGTATGTATGTTCGGTTCACTTCGTTCAGCTTTGGTTGGTAAGTAGGTCAGCCAAGCAATCAGTCAGTCAGCGAGCGAGTCAAGCAACAACAACAGCAACAACAAACTAAGCAACAGCAACAACAATAGCGCCAAAATGAGCTAGCAAACGAAATCGAAACTTAATTCAGACTTAGTAAGTGTGGTTGTTGCTGCCATTACAGCCTTTTTAGCTGCCTTTTTGTTTGTTTCTGTTGTCGCTACACGTCCCTTACAACACCATCACCCCGCGCCTTCAGCCTCTGACCTGTGTGAGTTTACATAATCGCTATACGGGCGCGCGCGTACGAAAATCACAGACGCAAAAGCAACCAACAACGAAAACTATTTACAAAAAAAATCAAAGCCTGAAATGCCAACAACAAATTGACCGTGGATTACGTAGCTTTGGCGCTTGAGCTGTGCACTTAATGGCTGGCGTTTATTTTAAGCTACACTTTTGGCAATTTTTGGCTAGCAGTTTCGCTGTTTCGCATTTGCTTTTTGTCGCGCCCCCTCTCTCACCTTAAGATCCTTAAAGAAGACAGTGTTTCTAGCCCAATCCACTTGTGAGAACAGATTCTGATCCAACACTTTGCACATCAGCTCGAAGAGATCAACTTCCACTTGATTGTAGGTTTGTTTTTGTAGCAACGCAAAGAGTTGTGTCTGCCATTCCCGATCGTCTATCGATTGCACGAAGTCGCGTATCATTGGCGACACCCTGTACGATGAGTGTGATGAGAAAATAAATGCATTAAAAATGTGTCCATAAAAGGTGTTGAGGCAAAATTTCGTTAACTCACCTAAGTGGCTCGATGATGGAGTCAGCAGTGCTTGAAGGATGCGTACCGGTGTCGAAGCTTTAATTGTAGAATAGAAATATAAAAAATTATAAGAAAACAAGTGAAAGATTAAGCGCGGCACAAGGCTTGAAATTGGGTGAATGTTTTTAACAAATCAAAAGAGAGGTGCGCGTTTTTTTAGGAAATTGTAAGCTCAACTTATTTTTTATGGTATAATAATCTGGCGCACAAAAAAAGGAGAGACACTCTTTGAAATTAGTCCCAACAAATTTTATGAAAAACTTTTAGTAAAGAATTTAAAATTAAAAAAAAAAATATATTCCAAAAAATTTAGATATGGATTTGAAAAAATATATTTAGTTTTTGTTTTTTTTTCAATTTTAGTTAATTGAAGTAAGACAAAGTAACTTTACAAATGTTTAGTAAATTAAAAACCGGTATTTGGTTATGTAAAACTGGAAATAAAGTTTTGCAAATAAAAAACTTAACATATGCACTTCAGGCAATTTAAAACAGGATAAAAATTTTTGATATAAAAAAAAATTGGATACAGCTTTTTGGTAATTTCAAAACTGGATGTAAATTTTTGGTAATAAAAACTGGAAATATTTTTCTGGTAATAAAAAATTGGAAATACATAATTTTTTGGTATCAAAAAATGTGAGATAATTTTTTGGCTTTGCAAAAATTGTTGGTCATTTGAAAATTAGAAAACTGTTAGATTTTAGGTTTTTAAAATTCAAAATAAATGGTTGTTATTTAAGAAATGAGAAACTATTTGAAAATTTACATAAATTGGTAAATTAAGAATTAAAAATTGTCTTTAAGGAAAGCCGTAAAGTTTTGGTTGTTTAAAATAATTGTAAGTAACTTAAAACTATACATACTTTATTTAATAAGCAATGGACATATTTTTTGGCAATTAAAAACTTAAATAGAAATCATAATTCCGAAACAAAATTTTAATAAATATAAAAAGAAAATTATTAAAAAAAATGCTGAACCTGCTGTGAGATGAAATTCCTATTTTGTGCAGTGTTATCAAGAAATATGTATAAAAATTTAACAAAAATAAATAAAAACAATTACATAGTTAAAACAAAGAAATCGAAAAGATTTTAATCGGGACTGGAAAGCTAAATTCGAAGTTGTAAAAACCGTTAACCATAAAATTAAAAAAAATGGATATCGAAGTCCAGGAAAGTAAAATCGGATAGGCAAAAAATTAAAAAAAGAAGCGCGCATATACAAATTTTGGATTACCGAAATGGCGATACGCAGTACAACTTTATGAACTGTTACGTGTCAAATATTAGGATAACAAAAAGCAAAAACTGAGGGGAAATTCTATTAAATAATTAAAAAAAATTAAAAATTACTCGCACGTCAAGGAAAAATGTAAATTTTCTACGTTCTACGAAAATTAAAAAAAATTAAGGGTCGCAGTGTTTGGATTTATTTATATGTACAAGTTTCAATAATATATCAAATTTATCAGATTTCAAGTATAAATTTTTTCGAATATTACGATTTATAAAATTTAAATTTTTTCAAACCCTGGTAGCAACTTTTATTTTGCTTGAATTTTTGACAATTTTTTTGTGTCTTAATACAAAAATTTATATTTTTAAGAACTATCCTAATATATTAAATGAATTGAACAGTTGTCTCGATTTTTGATAATTAAAGACTTTTTACAACCCCAGATGTTTTTAATGAAACTATAATCAGAAGCAGACCCGCTTTCGAAAAACTCTTGACAAAATGTTTCATTACCCCAGCTGTACCTCTCACAAAACTTTTCCCGACTGCTTACGATTTTAAGCATCTCAATTCTTTTTTTTTCGTTCAAAAACAGCCGCAGCACCTCTCAATCATGCGTGGTAATGAAGAGATATGGAAGGATTGATGATGTGCGTTTCATGCATCAACAACGTATGTATGTAATTAGTTAAAGCTAACATTT